CTCTGGGACTTTCCATACAGCAGACTCTTTGATGTGGAGGGAAATGGAGTACAAAGGACCAGAGTTAGTGATGGTTTTGACCCAGAATGAGGTCACTGAGTATGGGGAGGGGTATTTACTTGATACAACTACAAAAACCAGTGCTCCGAGTGGCACAGGCCAGGTTTGCTCCTGCCAGCTGCAGACTTGCACAGCAAATGGTTAGGTGCAGGCACTGTGAACAACTGGTTATTTCTTCTCACAGAAAGAAATTTAAGAGAGAAGAGGGTGATCTCCAATTTAGAAAGCCTCCCTGATTTCCATATGCTTTCTATGAGGCAGAAATATTTGCTTTAACCCTTTAGCAACCTTTTCTCAAGGGCATGCAGGACTAATTCAACTTTATTTTTTTTTCTCAGAAAATAAAAAGATAATGGGCAGTGAGAGGGGAAGGATGGAGCTAAAAATCTGTATTATGTTTTTTTTCATGCAGAAGTGGCAAAGAGAGCACTGACTTTACCATGAGTATGTTGTTTCTCTCTCTACCCTCTTCTCATCTAGTGGTCAGATTGATGGATGCACAGTTCTGTCCAATTTGGCTTTTTTTTTTTTTTTTTTCCCCAGCTGCAGGTGTATCATTTTCAGTTTATATCTCTACACTACATAATCTCAGACATCTAATTATAATTCACTATTGACACCTCAACAAGCAAGATTCACTCAATTAAAACTGTACAGAGCATCTGTTGTTCAGCTGGTATGAAAAATACCAGTTTTTCCCAGTCTATCTATCAACTGGGAAGCATTCACCATGCTCCTGTGAGTAATGGCCTTATGGCAGGATCTGCTTTTGCCCATCTCGGCTAAGCTGCCATTCCCCAAATATGATACAAATACAGCTCTCACAGTTTTCTTCATGCAAGTATTAGGAAAATTTATTTAAAGGATTACACTGCACAAACAAGTTAGTCTTTGGTGACTGCTCTGAGCTGCCATTTTCAATGTGGGGGAGAGATCGACTCTACCTGACCCTGAGGTTTGATTAACTGCTGTTTTAGTTTGTCTGCCTGATTTCAGATGTAGTGACCTTTGTTCATGATCTAATATGCTTTTCAATTCCTGATCAAATACTGATTTACTTTTTTATGTGTTTAATAACTATATTGTCTTTTAATATCAATCCCATGTTTGACCACAGGGAGTAGCTTATGTTTGATCAAGCATTTCTGCATCTATAAACATTGGAAACACAGTGTATTTGCTAGAACAATGTTCTGTGAGTCCTTCCAACAGCTATGCACGATAGCTTCAAATTGTGAAACTATAATTCCTGCTATCTAAATCTGTGCTCTTCACTTTAAGTGAAGACATATCTCTCTCCCCTGCCTCTCCTCGTCAGCTCCTACTATATCTCTGTTAATCTCCACATTAAGATACACAGAGCCTTCTGATCTGTAGAGGCTTGGCCCCAGTGAAATCTCCCAGGTGATTTTTACAAGTAATTGTGGTCCTAAGTGGGCCCTCCATTTCCAATGCCCATGACTCCCCATGCTCTCATAACTCACTTGCTGGCTAATGCATTTGATATCTCCTTGAAAACACCACCACAGAGCATGTGTTCAACCTCCATAGTACATCTAGGGGTGTTCACCAGAGGCTGTCCTTTAGGAACAGCCAGAGGAGCCATCATAAATAGCATGTATTTGCTGCTGTAAAATGCAGAACACCTGGGTCTTTATCTGCTAAAAGTCTCTCGATACATGTAAACAACTGGAATGAAATCCCAGCAGACAAGGAGCATACAACATTCTGCCATACCTCGGCTCAGATGCAAACCCTGTTCCATGCCTGCAGAGCAGCTGCCCTGCAGTGCACGAGTCCTTGGATTTGAATGTACACAAGAAATAACTTAAAACCCTTGGAGGGAAAGTTAATAGGTTCACCTAGTTTCGAACTGAGCTACTTTATAAAATCAAAGCATGTAATGATTTCTTAAATTGTAATTAAAAATTATACCACCAAAAATACTGTAGTGATGAGCCCTGGTTCCTCAAATAACTACAGCAGTTCCCTGGAGAGGGGTGGAGATTAGCAAACACATTTCACATGACAGCTTTTAATATAATTATTTGCATAACTGGATTAAAGAAGGACACCAACATGTGTCTAAATCTTATTACTGTTTATTACTCTGGATATCAGAGAAAACAGTAATTACATTGAGCAGAGATTCTCGGGACTCAATTCAGAGGTGGGGCTGAGTAAATGTGGCTGTGCCTCAGTCCCTGTCAGCCTGCGGGACCCCCAGCCTGCCTGCTTGGGGCCAGACCAGACCTCGTTTGTACACCGTGCAGGGAAAGCCTAGAAAAATGGCCCTGCAGAACCACTGAGGAGAGAGAAGGAGATTCAGGAGCCCACGACTGGGGAACGTGTATCATTTCAGGGTGCAAAGGGCCTTAAACAACGGGCAGGCTCTGAGCTTTCTGCTGCAAATATAAGTCCTGACAAATTCAAGGCATGGACAGGTTAAACCAGCACTTAAGCAAGGGAGCCCACCATGTTAGGCACTCCTGAGGATCTCCTTGAGATGGCAGACCTCAGCTCTGCTGTAATAGCAGCTCCAGAGGCTGCTGGTAACGAGATGTTCCCAGTGCGTCTGTCACTGTGGGAATAATATATGCACTGAACAGCTCTTCATTTCTGTCTCAAGGAAAAAAAGAAAAACAAAATAGAGAAACCCCTCTTGTTTGCTTCGTGCAGCTCTCTGAGCAGCCATCTGCACTCACTAACATTCAAGACAACATTAATAAGCCAAACTGTGGTGCTGTCAAATGAGAGTAAAAACATGATATGTAAGAAATGATCCCAGACCTGCTGTGGTTAACAAGAGTCTTCCCAGTTACTCCAATGGGCTTTGGATCGCTCTGGATTACAGTGCTGTCTGTATTTAGGGCATGAGGTTGTCTCAATGCTAATTAACCTTTACAAAATAACAAATTAACAGCTTGAAGTAATATAATTCAATTGAAAAAAAAAATCTCTAAATATCAGGAATTTGTTGTTATTTAAGGCTGCTTTTTGTAGTGTTGTTTCAGTGCCCTCTCGGTGTCCTACTCCTTGTTCTCTTCAAAAGAGCCCTGAAACAAAATCCAAAAAGCTTACAAAATGTGGTTGGTTTGTTTGGAAGGGTTTTTTTCATAATCACCAGTTATTCGAGTAACTTGCTATATTGAGCTTGAAGGAAAAACACTTTCTTAAAATTTAGCAAAAGCAAAACATGATTTAACAGTTCATACAAATCTTTAAATCAAGGTAAGCAAGAGAGATACACTTAATCACAGAGTGAACACAAGTGACAACCACTTTAAAAGGACCTCCTTGATTCAGCGTCTCTGTAATCAACTTCTAATATTCAGTTCCTCATTACTAGCAGCAGAACAGCTTGAAATTCTAAGGCAATTTGTGAAAAGAGATTTCAAATATTTTTCCAATGCTTTTCCCAGTGTGTGCATATGCATCTGTGTATTTTTTTAAACAGATTAAGCTTACTGAATGCTGATGGGCAAAATGATATTTACAGTTTCACAGTAGGAGTACATTTACAAGCTAGAGAAACCATCCTCTCTTTCTTTCCTCTCCCTTCTTTTCTAATTGCATTGCCTTGCAGCGCATACGTTTCTGGCCATGTGCAGTTGCGGTTGGCTAGATGCCCTTGCTGACCATGGCCCAAACCATCCCTGGACTGCGCTGCTTCTCCAGCTGATATCAGCTCAGTATCAGGCAGTTACTCATGCCATCCCAGATTCTGGCTGAGCTGGCTGGAAGAAACTCTTCAGAAACGATGTCTGGTTTCAGAACTTTTACTTTTATCCTTATCTATTACCTCAGCTATTTTCAGTTCAGACAGAGGAAGGAAGAAACTAGAAACCATTAGCTTGATTATAGCTTCTAACTCCTTCATCTGATTGAAAGGTGAATGTCAAAGAAAATTGTTTCTTCCCAAAAGGCTCCTTCAAAAGAGAGCACTTGCCACTCCACTCCATTTGACAGGTCTTTCTTTGGCTGGTCACGCAATGCTTGTACATGGCTCAACGTCAACAGCCGCTTCCACCCGCTCTCTCTTAACAGACACCTCCAGAAACGCTCCTGAAGACAGTATCAAAGTCTCTGGATGTCTCTGGAGGTCAAAACTGATGGCAGCATTGCCACATGTCAAAATCAGTTCCTCAAGGAATGAGTGGAAAGCATCTCATCACTGACAAGGCTATGACGACATCCACTCCCCTGGCTGGGAATGCAGCTGACTTGCAGTGGAGTCAGCAAATTCCAATTACACAAGACAATGGCAAGAATATAATTCAATGTTGGTAAAGCGGTGGTATGTCTTAATGTCCCCCTATTTGGATGATTTTCCACTACACATTATGTTTCCAGTCTATCCATCCTTGATGACAGTGTCAGCAAATCCACCAAACAGGCTGTTGCACACTCTGCATTGCAGTTGCACCTCGCAGAAATAACATCACTCTGGTTTTATTTCCCCTCTTGCGATACTGCATCTCACCTTGCTACATGCTGTGCTGCAGCTTCACGAGACAGAAGAGGTTTAGGATTGCGTGATGATGCTGGGTTCAAAAAGCATAAAGCACAGATTCCTGCCCAATACAGTTGGTCATAGTGGGCAGGTGAGCAGCCGTGTTGCAAAGGCTGCTACTCCATCCAACTCAGCCAGCAGCAAGGAGAAAATCACGCAGGGCAGACGTAGCACACCCCACCAAGGGCCACAGGCACGCAAGAGAGCCAGCTGTCTTGTACAGAGGAGCTTGGAGGGAGTGCAGGTGAGCTGATGCCATCACCCCACACACCCTCAGGAATGGGGAGACCCCTGCACAGTGCTGCTGCCAGCACAACTCAGCTGGCAGAAGGAGGCTCATAGCAGCTCTTTCCAACATGGTTTCCTGCCCACAGTTGAGATAGCTGCCCAGGAAAGGCATTTCATAAAGCCTTAGGCTATTCTTCAGCATGGCACTAACCCAAGAGGAGTACAAAAATACTGTTAGTCCTCCACTCTGGATCCTGTACCAAAGACTGGTTTCTGTAAAGATATGCAGATTTAATTTTTGCCCAATGCAAAGCACGTCCTCACTGAGATATTTGGGTCCAATATTAATCCTTGCTTCTCCTTGTCCCCAGATCCCACGTCTGTACAGCAGGAAATATCCAAAACTGATAGCAGGGACCTGTTGTTTACATAAAGATACCTTACTGTGCTAACACCTCTTTGGCCTCTAAATCCTGTCAAAGAAGTAAAGACATTTTTAGGATCTGACATATGCCTCTCCTCCAGTGGGAGTGGAGATGCTGGGGAAGATATGCATGGGACTTGTGGTGGCATAATTGAGCCCTGAGGACAAATGTCGGGAATCAGGACTAATTAATGGTGGAAAAGACTTACAGTGTTACTGTGCAAAGGAAGTGAACTCCCACCAGCTGTCTTTTACAACACCACACTGGCCATAATGCAATTTGTAGTGGGTCCAATTTTCTTCTTTCTCCAGGCAAACATTTTCTTCAGCTCCCCCCTGAAGCTGTCATGGAGCCAGGCATAGAGGAAGGCATTGGTACAAGCAGACATCATTGCAAACCAGTGGCACAGCAGCTGGATGAAATTGAAGTACTGCTTGTCAATCAAGCTGATATCTATGTCCTTTATCATGTTGAAGATGTGCAGAGGCAGCCAACAGACTCCAAAGGCTGCCACCACTAAGACTAACAAGCGAAAAGTCTTTCTCCTCCTTGCTCGGTCCCACTCAGCTTGGCCCTGGGTGACGTTGCCCGGGACTACACGGTTTTTCAGCTTGACTGAGATTCTCAGGTAGGACAGGGAGATGACAGCCAAAGGCAGTATGTAGGTGATGATGAGGGTGCTGTAGGCGTAAGCTAAGCGATCTCTTTTCATGTGGAACCAAAACTCCTCACAGATGGAGAAGTCCAGTTCTGGGAACTCCGCGTGGTAAGTGTGGACCAAGGCTGGGGCAGCCAAGGTACAGCTCAGCAGCCAAATAGCGGCCAGGATATAAGCACAAATAGGGATTGTGAGCCTCCTGCGGAATGGGTGCACCATGGCGTAATACCTATCCACAGCTATGACAGTCAGCGTGAAGACAGACACAAACACAGTGACGGGCTGCATCAGGAAAACAAAGTAGCACATGAAACGCCCATATACCCATCCTCTGGGCTCAAAGGCATACGCGAGTGTCAGGGGTACACAGGTCGCACACATGAGCATGTCTGAAAAAGCCAGATTGCCTACCAGAAAGTTGGTGACATTGTGCATTTTTTTGGTCTTGCAGATAACATAAATGAGAAGGTAATTCCCAATGACACCAATAAAAACCACTAGTGAGTAGCAGGGGATGATGAGTGGCTTGAAGGTCTGAACAAACTGGAGCCCTGAGAATAAATTGCTCGCGTTGCTGTGAATCGCAGAGAGGAAGCTTTGGGAGGTTAAATTGTCTGAATTCATCATTTCCCTCCTTTTGTCGTCTGCCGTCAGCTGAGTGAAGTAGTTGCCACTGCACTACTCCTGCACTCAATCAGTGTGGATAATGAATGGATTACTGGCTGTCCAGAGGTTACCACATGGATAGTAAACAAGCATCCGTAAAAGCAAAAGGTGAAGTTGTAATCCTTGAGAGGAAGCTTTCAGCAATTCCTAAGAAAAATCGAATACAACCAATTTCCATTAAAGTCCTCCTGCATTTACTGTTAAATCTAGGTTTTGACAGCATGCCACTTAATAAACATTTAATGCAATGAGTACTTACTGCTGTGTTTTTTTAATCCCATATGATTTTCCTGTGGATGCCAAGAAGTGCCCTAGATGTCTGTCTTCTGCAAATCCAGGAGCGTGTGTGTGTGTGTGTATCTCAGAGAGAGAGAGAGAGAGAGAGGGAGAGAGAATATATGAGTGAGAAAGAGGGTGATGCGCATTTACAAGCTAAGTGGAGATCAGTGTTTTTAAACAGTCTTCACTACTAGGTCATGACAGATTTGTGTTTAAGCTTTTATCCCTATTGGCTGCCCTGGGTATTACGTTGCTCTTTGCGTGTTTCTTACTGGTAGTAATTAGTTCTAGAATATCCTTTCAAAAATTCCCTTTTTCTTCCAGTGCATCTATAATTGCCCCTCACAGATAAAAATCAATTTACATTCATTAACACCATCTTACACAATATCTAATCCAAGATTAGCTTTGCCTCAGCCCTCAGAGTGTCCAAAAGAGCTACCTGTGAAATTGTTGTTATAATGTGACTGTAAATTAGAATTTTAATAACATGCTAAAGCCAAATAAACGTTTATGCCACTAGAGGGACTCAGCTACGTACCTGCTGAATGAAGTTAGAATTAGAAATGTGCAGTTAGCATCACAAAGGATATTTTATTTAAATTTATTTTCAAATGGTGGTACAATGTTTGCTCGCCCACAGTGAGTATTTTCAGTGAGGTTTACACACCTTTAAAAGAAAAGGCATGTATCTCAAAGGAAATATTAACAGCCAAATAGGTTAGCTGTAAGGGTTTACTTGCAGTGAACTACAGCAAGCTGTTTCTAATATTGCAGCTGCCCAGCAATATTTGGGGTGTTTCTTCATTCCTGCAGTAGGTTTGTTAATCTTTCCTGTACCAGACAATAAGTGCTAACCAGACTGTAAAACAGTCTATACTTGAGGGGTTTTGGTTTAGACATTAGAAAATAAAAAAAAATCAGGATACATGTTTACAGAATACACATTTCAGCATCCCCCTCCAGATCTTGCCTACTGCTCTATTTCTCCCTTAGCTCTCCTCCATTTCAACCACTTCTGGAACCAGTACCTCAGCTAGTGAAAACTAGTGAAAATCCACTGCATCCATTTACATCAGCTAGGGAAACTAAAAAATAAATGGAACAGCCTAACAAGTTCTGAATACTTCAGAGCAGAGAACATTACTAGGTTTTGCAAGGCACTCAGGGGATTTAGACACAATTTCAATGGACAGTTTATTTCCTAACCTCTTAGACTAGTCTAAGGAAATATTAACCCATTATTTATATGAGTCTATGGGCAGAACCATATCCTTCTTTTGATTTTATATAATTTGACATAAAACAAAAGATTAAATAGATTTCTTTTTTGTCATAATCCTTTTCCTAATCTTAAAACAGAAGCTAATTGTGTGTAGCCCTTGTTCAGGCCAGAACCATTTTCCCACAGCTACTTATGATGGATGGGCATTTCAAACATATAAGTGCTGACTCTGTGCCGCTGCATTTCTGGTTAGATTATGCTATGGACTGGAATATGGCTATAATTCCACCCTGAGGGGAGAACAATCATGTAGTTGTGTTGCTCAGGAGTGCCATCCTTCACTTCATGGATATAATAACCTACCCATGACCCATGCAAAAACTGGGATGCTATATCCCAGTTCAGAACCCTATCTCACCTATCTGAGCTGGATGGGACCCAGAGGAATATAGTACCTATTTATATCTACATACACAAATCCAGAATGGGAGAGAGACTCACTGGTAGAGGTTGCAAAGAGGCAAGGAAAAAGGAGACTCCTACTGCTTTCACCACCCAGTGCAACCATACTATTTAATTATAAGCAGCATGGTGCAAAAGTAATTCCTAAAACCCATAAATGTAATTATTTCACTTAATGTGGGAGAAAAGTATGGTCTGATTTAAATCCTACTGAAGTAGAATTTCAGTAAGCTTTGGACATGGTCTCTAGTATAAACCAAAAAACACAGAAAAATGAATAGGGAGCATATGTAAATGACATTCATATCACCCACACCCTGCTGGAATTTTAAGGCTTATGCTAGGAAAGAAGCCTCACGATAAGATCAGTGCACACATAGTAATTAAAAATCACATTTTTAACTAAGAGATTTTTCTGTTTCATTCCCAAAAGCTGCAGAGTAGATTAAATCAATATGCTCATTGTATTCCTGTGAGAAAAAGGTTTATACTTTGGTATGTGAGAAAAGTCAAACAAAATATCTTCTGAAGTAACCTTCAAGGTCACCTTAATACTTAGGTCACAACAACCTGTAAGTAACCTTAGAGGTTCTTTTATTTCAAGCTTTACTAAGCAATCTTCCTGTGTTTCCTCTTACCCTTAAATGTGCGTTCTTCACCTCTGAAACCAGTAACCAGTAAATCTTCTCTTTGAAGGCTCCCACCCTATTTCTGTTAGTGATTTTCTATTTGTTTTGGCTTAAAGCAGAAAATTTCTTCAATTCAACTGTACTCTACAGGCAAGACCTGGAAAGATAATATTTAATAGGGGCTCGAACAGAAGTATTTCAGCATTTTACCCCAAAGAAATCCCTTTTCCTCCTTTTAAAACTGCAAATATTAATCTTGTTTAGACTTTCCTAGGCTAGGTGACAAAGTCCTTCCTGAGCCGAGTATAAGCCTATTTCACACACAGAATTTTCTCATTAAAAGAGAAAAGGTCACAGAAACTGCATTACTGTCATACTAGAACTGTTTTGACATTCCAAGTGTCACACATAGGAATGCTGATTAGTGTCTAATTGAAACCCTGGTCTTCCTTGAATCAATGGAGAATGTTATATCTAGAGCCAGACCAACACTTCACAGAAGCATTTCACAGCTGAGCTTCCGTGATCTCTTACGATAACCTGTCCGACCCTGTACATTTTGACATTTTGAGTACAAACATTGTAAGCTGCTACGTGACTTTCAGAAAGTGGTAAACCTCTTAAAGCACTAACACTCCTCCTTATGTACATGTCTAATAATTCCTGCAGTTCCTAACTAAAACAGCATGATCCAGGAATGAGGTCTGGTCTTAGCACTATACTTGCAAAGCTCAACAGTACTTCTTAAGCTGACAGGCCCTCTCTTCTATTATTTAGGCTTTGCAGACATAAAAAAATGTTCCTTCTGTAATTAAACAGTTTCAGGTGTTAGTTTTCTATGGTTTTGTTTACTTGATATGTATCTTCTTCTGTAAAACACAACTCCTTTTGCATTATAAAACTTCTTTAAAAAGTCTTTCACATTCTTCCAGGAATGTTTTGTGCAGAGTAGATCGGGTAGTTCTTGCAGAGCCTACAATAAAAACAGATGCTTTGCTTATTTTGAATGAAGTAGAGCTGAGGGTTCCTTCAGCAAATCCTTCTTTTGACCAGCCAGGAAACAAGGTTGTGTATCACACAGTAGTTTCAAGACAGGATAGCCTGTCTCTCCTTCTCTCATTTAATCATAGAAATGCATCCTGTCTGTCCCTGCTGTGGACTGAGACATCACAATCTCTAAACTCTAAAAAACATATTTACAACTAAAAGTTTTGTTTGGTAGGCTTGGAGTTTTTTGGTTGTTGCTGCTTTTCTCAAATTCAAGGTACCAAACTTTGATAAACTCAAGATTCAGCTTAAAATAATTCATTTAAGCTGAAGACGAGTTTAACAACTTGAATGAAGAGGAGGCTTGAATTTAAGTCAAAACATGCTTGAGGTTGCATGCTAAACATAGAATGGGGGTTCTACTCTTACTGAATACACATAATTCTTAGTCTGCTGAGCAAATTCAGATAAGAAAAATGAGTTGGTGCTAAAATAAATATAACAGTGTAAAAACTGAGGAAAAATACAAGTGGTTTCCTGGGAATTAAGGTGCTGGATCACAATTACCACAACAAAGTAAAAGCCAAATGTAGAAGTGAATAAACTCGTACTGTGAGGAGCTAGCTAATCCTCACTGTCAGGTTCTGCAAAAACTGGCACATGGAACTGGGGTGTGAGAGGTAAGGGCTTTTCCTATCTGTATGGCATGAGAACACAACTCTGTGATTGTAGAAAAGCAAATGGCCCACCCGTCCTCAAGAATAGGAAGGGAAGGGATGCGATAAGAAAGTGCAGGCCTCTTAGTCTGACAGAAGATTTACAGTAGATTTTAGACCTGATTTAAGGACAGAGGAAGGAGAGGGAGAGAGAGAGAGAGAGGAGACAGTATAGGAAACTAAGGGAAGTTTTTGTCAACTTAACCTTCTATCTATGTGTTATTCAGCTAACTTTTCTCAACAAAGGATACGTAGTAGTTCTCATCTTAGGTTTGTGTAACACATGTCATGTAGCATATGAAAAGACATCATCTATACCAGAAGAAATATCCTAAGAACTGCTAGGTAGGCAAAGACCACCATTTATGAAGGAATTGGGCCAGAAGACAGCAACTATTCATGCTCCTCAAGAACCTTGCTTGGGATTGACCAGCCTTATTAGCTCTTTTCATTTTATTATGTTAGCAGAAAAAGCAGGGCCACACCAATTGAATTTGATAGAACCACCAAGTTTGGCACCAGAGATGATATGGAGGATGACTGCACAATTACACAGAGAAACTTTGAAAACTTCAAGGAGAATGGGAGGAAGTCTGACACCATTACAGAGGAAAATCTTGTCATAAAGGACAGGATCAAGGTCAACTGATAATAAGCATTTTCATTATGGCTTAGAATGGAGTAAATTCTGTTGCAGATCTATACGAAGGAGCAGGTAGTGCATTTGAAAGTGCAAGAAAAAGAAAATGTACTACTTTGTGACAGATTCCAGGGTGAATTTGCCTCTACTTTGTTACAATCTCTGGGCAATTTTCTTGCTGTAAGTGTCTATTCTCCAGAGCAAAATTGTACTGTATTCTTTAAAAACACTGAGGAGGATGATAAACTCCAGGGCAGGTAAAGACGCATTTAAGCTGAGGAACAATACTAATGTAAGAACACATTCACCATGGGCGAATTTAGGATGGAAAGTAAAAAGTTCTAAGTGGGAGGGCAAAAAATTACCTCTTGGAAGTGCTGGCTTTTGGAACAATCAATGTATTATGGGGGATAAAACACTTGCTTTTAACAAAAACTTGATCCATTTATGGCATACATGTGGTATGA